ATTAAAATCACAGACACAGCGAAAATTCGGAAAAACTTCAAATAAGGCTTAAAACATGACACATTAGAGTACTACCGTATTTTAGGGACCAAGTGCACTGTCAATAAATTGCTTAGATTGGGTTTTGTTCATGCACGATGTGCATCGGTACCGATGCTAGTTTTGGGGGAACTCCTGTTGTATGCGAACCAAGATGCCAGACACCGGAACGTAGTATGTGTACCAGGTTAGGTGGTCACTTGGCTGGTCCATAGGACAGAAATAAGGAAAATTGGAATAAAATTATGGCCCAACCCTAACTTGGTACACATACTACGTTCCGACGTCTCCTATCTTGATTCACATACTACAGGAGTACCGCTTTGAGTGTAGACAACAAAGCTTAAAGCACTACCTGACACATACATTTGGCACACCTGCTCATAAGGCACTTGATCGATTTTTAAGAAAACAAAAAGTATTTTAAGCGCTCCTTATGGTCCATAAAATACGTTACATGCATGGTCAATCCACATTGCGAAATAGAATATAGAGTAAAAATACTCAAAAGCTTGTGACTAATTGTGATAATACATGCTTGGCATTGAGCTAACGAGTCATGCAAATTTTCAGTCAAATTAACAAATAAACAAAAAATTCTGTCAGAGCACCAGAACGTCAGAATACAATTTAAGGTGTGTACTGGTCATGGCCCAATTTTCACTTGTTGAAAAAATACATCAGTGAAATGGATAATATTGTACCAATAATCTAATCACAGTTACGCATGGTAAAGCAGGGATCGAATACAGTGCATTTTTTTTTAAAAGACAATTTATAAAATAAAGCACATTATCCGGATTAGTGGTCTCAAAAGTTAGCGTAATTTTTACGTAAAACAATCAAAGCAACATTTCTACACAAGAAAAAAAGAAAAAATCAAATTCAATAGAATACAAAATTTGACAAGCTGATTGCTATACCTTAACAATTTACAGTAAATCCTATTGCATTGATTTTCAACCTTTTTAAAGCAACCCTTAATGAAACATTCCCTGTGCAATAGTTTAATTGTCTTATGTAAAAAACACCATTTGATTAATTGTGTAAACTATTAATATATATAAAAGGGTTCCATTACATTTGAACCCACGTACATTTGAACCCATGACAATTGCACCTGCATACTATTGCACCTATGGAAATTTTGTTGTTGTACGGATAGTTGAACCCATACTAACCCTAACCCATGGGTTTCAGCACCCGCATATTGATTGAACCCGCGGATATAGACATGGGTTCAAATGTACGTGGGTTCAAATGTACGGTCACCATATAAAAGCAAACGTAATATTGACAAAACAAAATGATCTTTCAAGTGTGCAAGTTGGTGATAATACTATTTGTGACTATCAGTGATAATACTGATAGATATTTAACTATATTTAAACAATATACATATATTAATACAGACTCTAGCATTCAAATTGAACCTTGAAAAACCGATCAACTGGGATGCTGGCAAACCCTGGTTGTAAACCACTGTTCTAGTGAAAGCTTTGTACAAAGTATGTTATAAAGTATGGTGACACATAGCAGTAGAAGAAACAAGGAAAGAAGGATAGGCCGTTCATCACAAATCAAGCAAGAACAATTTAAACATTTTTGTGGATTTGAACATTTACTCTGTGTTTAAGATCTGTTTGATTCTCAAATAAAAATGTTTTAGGTAAAAAATGGATTGATGTTTGATCTTAAAGGGTTGAGTAAAACAAAGGCAATAGTTTTAGTAGCTATAAAATAAGGCCAAATTAGAGTGAAGCTTTGCTCATTTGTATTTTGCTTGTATATTTCATTTTATACTACAGAGCAACCCAAAAACCCACTGATGAGGTAACCGCAGTAGATGGAATGCAAAGTGTCCTTTGATGGAATGGCAAACGTGAGATCGCTAGTTTTTGTGTGCCGTATCATGTTTGAGTAGTCATTTCCAGGAAATATAAAAAAAAATTAGGCAGCATTCAAATTGTGAGAGGTTTATGAAGTATACTCAGGTATACTCAATAATGATATTGAATTGGGATGCAATGAATGGTGTGATTCAGATGGTTTGCACCACCCTTTTTAGAATGTAGAGGACGCTCTATCAGTAAACAATACCCTTGTACAGGATGGTAAATTTACTAAAAATACTTAGGTATGTATTTTTGATCGACCATCAGTTCGGTTTTTAATTTTGAAACAATGAAATTTTGAAAAATCCGCTCTCAACACTCAGATTAGATTCGGATTGAATTTGGAATTGAACTCCCCAAAAGACTATTAAAAGTAGCAATGGATGTAAAAGACCAAAAAGCATGTTATAAAAATGGGTAAGCTATATCAAACAAGAAAGCTATGCTCAAATTTATAGGCACAACAGCCAAAACGAAGTATCATCAAATCTTTTACAGTACCAGTAGTCTGATTCCGAGATCGCTGAAATGCGTCACAGAACCACGACACGGTGCGCATTTTTTAATTCTGATGACAAGATCGCACACACAAAAACAAATGTCATAAAGCCCACAGAAATTTTAGAAATAAATGAAAGTAATAGCCTGAAAATTTCAAACTAATTGGTCCAGTAGTTAAAAATAAAAGAGATTTTTTTTATAATGACAAAAAAAAAATGCTAGGGAAATGCTTTGTGTCCAAAATCAGTGTTTTCTATCTCTCAACATAGCAGCTTTATATTAGCAACTGTTTCTGTGGGGCCTAAAACCAATAAAAATGTGAAAATATTCCCTAAAAAAAATTCCTATTTTAAAGAACACTGTATTATGGTAAGTTGCAATAAATACTGGGGACTTGGAGTCTAAATTGGGTGTTATACACTAGGCTGTAGTAAATCAGTATGACTTGGTCGATTATTTATAGTTGAAAAAGCATTTGGCATCTAGTTGCCAGACATAAAATGGGCTTCATTCAATTCATGACTTGAAAACAATGCTTATCTCAACCATGCTGATCACAAAATTTAATTACGGTACTATTAAGTATTAATTAACAAAAATCTGGGAAAATTCATAATAATGTTCAAAGTTCCATATTTTCTAGTGGATCACTCTATCAATTGACTAAGAAAAAAGTTGTAATCAATATTACATTAATAAAATCGAACAATTCCACGCTATAATGAAAAAAGTAGGGCTAATGAAGGTAATGATTTTTGATCCATTAGCATTTTCATTTTCCTTAATCACCCGTAATGTCTCTAGGAGAATAATCTTCTTAACTTCTGAGTGAGTGCTTGTGACCAAGTGAATTTCCTTAAAATATCAACTAATAATAAACAATTTTGACAAGCTGATTGCTATACCTTAACAATTTACAGTAAATCCTATTGCATTGGGTTTCAACCTTTTTAAAGCAACCCTTAATGAAACATTCCCTGTGCAATAGTTTAATTGTCTTATGCAAAAAACACCATTTGATTAATTGTGTAAACTATTATTATATATATAAAAGGGTTCCATTACATTTGAACCCACGTACATTTGAACCCATGACAATTGCACCTGCATACTATTGCACCTATGGAAATTTTGTTGTTGTACGGATAGTTGAACCCATACTAACCCTAACCCATGGGTTTCAGCACCCGCATATAGATTGAACCCGCGGATATAGACATGGGTTCAAATGTACGTGGGTTCAAATGTACGGTCACCATATAAAAGCAAACGTAATATTGACAAAACAAAATGATCTTTCAAGTGTGCAAGTTGGTGATAATACTATTTGTGACTATCAGTGATAATACTGATAGATATTTAACTATATTTAAACAATATACATATATTAATACAGACTCCAGAATTCAAATTGAACCTTGAAAAACCGATCAACTGGGATGCTGGCAAACCCTGGTTGTAAACCACTGCTCTACTGAAAGCTTTGTACAAAGTATGTTATAAAGTATGGTGACACATGACAGTAGAAGAAACAAGGAAAGAAGGATAGGCCGTTCATCACAAATCAAGCAAGAACAATTTAAACATTTTTGTGGATTTGAACATTTACTCTGTGTAAGGTTTAAGATCTGTTTGATTCTCAAATAAAAATGATTTAGGTAAAAAATGGATTGATGTTTGATCTTAAAGGGTTGAGTAAAACAAAGGCAATAGTTTTAGTAGCTATAAAATGAGGCCAAATTAGAGTGAAGCTTTGCTCATTTGTATTTTGCTTGTATATTTCATTTTATACTACAGGGCAACCCAAAAACCCACTGATGAGGTAACCGTGGTAACCGCAGTGGATGGAATGCAAAGTGACCTTTGATGGAATGGCAAACGGGAGATCGCTAGTTTTTGTGTGCTAGGAAATATGAAAAATAAATAGGAAGCACTCGAATTGTGAGAGGTTTATGAGGTATACTCAATAATGATATTGAATTCGGATGCAATGAATGGTGTGATTCAGATGGTTTGCACCACCCTTTTTAGAATGTAGAGGACGCTCTATCAGTAAACAATACCTTTGTACAGGATGGTAAATTTACTAAAAATACTTAGGTATGTATTTTTGATCGACCATCAGTTCGGTTTTTAATTTTGAAACATTGAAATTTTGAAAAATCCGCTCTCAACACTCAGATTAGATTCGGATTGAATTTGAAATTGAACTCCCCAAAAGACTATTAAAAGTAGCAATGGATGTGAAAGACCAAAAAGCATGTTATAAAAATGGGTAAGCTATATCAAACAAGAAAGCTATGCTCAAATTTATGGACACAAAGGCCAAAACGAGTAGCATCAAATCTTTTACAGTACCAGTAGTCTGATTACGAGATCGCTGAAATGCAGTCACAGAACCACGACACGGTGCGCATTTTTTAATTCTGATGACAATATCGCACACACAAAAACAAATGTCATAAAGCCCACAGAAATTTTAGAAATAAATGAAAGTAATAGCCTGAAAATTTCAAACTAATTGGTCCAGTAGTTTAAAAGAAAAGAGATTTTTTTATAACGACAAAAAAAAAAAATGCTAGGGAAATGCTTTGTGTCCAAAATCAGTGTTTTCTATCTCTCAACATAGCAGCTTTATATTAGCAACTGTTTCTGTGGGGCCTAAAACCAATAAAAATGTGAAAATATTCCCTAAAAAAAATTCCTATTTTAAAGAACACTGTATTATGGTAAGTTGCAATAAATACTCGGGACTTGGAGTCTAAATTGAGTGTTATACACTAGGCTGTAGTAAATCAGTATGACTTGGTCGATTATTTATAGTTGTAAAAGCATTTGGCATCTAGTTGCCAGACATAAAACGGGCTTCATTCAGTTCATGACTTGAAAACAATGCTTATCTCAGCCATGCTGATCACAAAATTTAATTATGGTACTATTAAGTATTAATTAACAAAAATCTGGGTAAATTTATAAAAATGTTCAAAGTTCCATATTTTCTAGTGCATCACTCTATCAATTGACTAAGAAAAAAGTTGTAAGCAATATTACATTAATAAAATCGAACAATTCTTCGCTATAATGAAAAAAGTAGGGCTAATGAAGGTAATGATTTTTGATCCATTAGCATTTTCATTTTCCTTAATCACCCGTAATGTCTCTAGGAGAATAATCTTCTTAACTTCTGAGTGAGTGCTTGGGACCAAGTGTATTTCCTTAAAATATCAACTAATAATAAACGAAATTTTCAGCAGTGAAATGCAGTTTTTAGGCATTTTTCTTTCAATCAATAATATTATTCTACTCTATTGCTATACTGTATTATTGCACTCTATGTTGTGTATGGCAGATGGGACAAAAACAAAAGTATGGTCTGCAATGTAAGGAATTTCAGACAAAAGATAGAATTCAGTTTAAGGAGTTTCGAGATCAATCCTTTCAGTAATAATTGTTTTCACATAGCCAAGGGCAGTGTTCCCTCTAAAATGTGCGGGCGCAAACAGCTTTCAGAGGCTGTGCCCACGCATAGATTTACTGCGCACAGATGTATTTCGATGTAATGCAACAATGTTCTCAATTAGCAGGTTGATAAAGTTTGTTGTTGGCCCACTTATTACCCGGTTAGAACGCCAAAATTTCTTCATTGGTTTTTGCTCAAATATTAGTCATTTCCAAAAAAGTGCGCACACACCAAAATTTCTGCGCACACATACTACAAAAAACTAGAGAGAACACTGGCCAAGGGCCACAGAGAAATTCTCTGGGGCCACGAGAAAAAGTCTTCGCTATGTACCATTCAAGATGACTACATAAATGCAAAAAAAAATTGACTGTAATGCTTTTGCTTTTATTCATCAGCTTATTTAATATTAAACGAGTTGAAAGCAAAAGAAGTAATTTCATACAAGCCAGCTGGTGGGAGGCGATGGATAATGAATATTAGCTTTTAACGTACCAGTTGAAGATTTTGCTCATGTCATCAAGCTGTCTTTATTTGTGTAAATAACTCATCTTGAATACTGATGACCAAAATGCAATGGTTTACTAACAATATATAAAATCAAACTTTTTGTTCATTAGCATTTACAATATTAAAATGATGTAGAAAATAAATAGCACAAACATGATAAAATAAAAACGAAAATTTTTTTGCAAGAACTATATCGTTTTTTTTATTTTTTTTTGTGTTTAATATTTTTATTTTATTTTTATTCCATTTTTTTTATTTTAATATTGTTATCTTCAGATGGGGGACAATGGATCCGCTTGACTTTGACACGCTCATGAATACCTTTTATAAGATAACATCAAATAAAAACTAAATGAAAAAAAAAAATAAAACCAGTAATTCAAAATACTAGCTGCAATCTAACACGAGTGAGACTTTGAAAGATATGTGTCATTTTTACTGTTCATCTGCCTGCTGTGGATCGGGCACCAAGGGATTTTCTTCATCTACTGGCAAAGGCTTGTCTTCTAACGCAGTATTCTGACTCTTTTTTTTGCAATAGCAATACACTGCTAGGGCTGCTATTATCATACCAATAATCACACTGACAACAATCGCTGCAATGGTTGCGCCAGGCAATTTTGTAGCTGTGACCAGTGGCGGATCAATTTCATCCTTCGTATCTTGTTCTGAAGTGATTTTTTGTGGAATGGAAACTGCTGTTGTTGTAGGATCTGAAATAAATTGTAATGTTAAATATATTAATAGGTTTGAAAGAAATTGTATTGTTAAATGTTGTAGGTTTTTTTAGTTACAGTTGGTCTTAGCATTTTAGTGGTCGCTCGTACTTTGCAACTGTGGCACAAACATGCTGAAATCTGTCACTCTAACCTCCAGGCCAGGGGTGGGCAAATTATCGCCCGCAGGCTAGGTTTTATTTGACGACTACACTAAATTAGAAATCATGTCTATAGTTCTTATGAATATAAATTCCCTTAAAAAATTTCGATGAAAATAGCGCCATAATGGCCCCGATTGTTACATTGTGTGTCTTATTATTATAATAAATGTTAATCTGACTGTTAAACTAATTCTTGTAAATAAACAGTTTTTTATTCATAGCGTATCATATTGAGTTTTGAGTCTCCAGCTAAGTAACCAGATGTATTACTTGAAGCCGGGAAAAGAAATTGCCCACCAATGCTCTAGAGCAGCCATGTGTAACCTACGGCTCGCGAGCCAAATCTGGTCCATTGAGTAGTTCAATCTAGCCCACCTGATGCTGCTACAACCACTAAAACCAAATTTTGATGTCAAGCTAAAAATAGTTCAAGGATTTTGTTGAGCCTGGGATTAAATTTAGTTCTAGCTCAAGGCTTATTATTGTTTTCCATCTTTGCTTTTGTAACAGTGTAATGATTGTTCACGAAATGCAACTTTTTTCATCACACTTACATGGCCCACCAGTCTAGGTAGGCAAAATTTTTGGCCCCTGTTTCAAAAATCTTGCCCATTCTTGCTCTAGGCCAGAAGTTCCCAAACCAGGGGTCGCGCCCCCAAATTGGGTCGGAGTGATAAGTAGGTAGGGTCGCAAACAGTTTATGGGGTCGCTGAGGTATGGTAGAGGATGGATGTACAAAACATCTAAGCTTTAACAAACCATGATAAATTTAGCAGTTTGTACTATGGCTTACTGTAAAACAGGCCTATAGGCATCGCCCTATGCTTATGCTAAAAAAAATGTAGGTGCGTATTGTGACATCACTGTATGGTTTTAGCTTATTTTACTTAATACCACCACATGACCAAACTCAAAAGTCCAGTGAAAGAATCTCTGAGGTTTCATGAAAAATATATACATTGACCTGGGGTCGCACTGGGTTGTGGAAGACTAACGAAACAGAATTTTAAACATAGCCCCCTACCCCCCCCCCCCCAGCTAGTGATTATTTGTTAATCGAAACAGCGCTATTCTGTTGTTCATTACGATTTCAATATTTTTTTAATAAAGTGCAAATATGAGGAAATGACAAAAAACCTCCTGAATTATAAATACGAGAATATCGGTCGGAAACCGAAGACTTATCGATCGAAGGTTAGGGAATCCCCCAAAACAGCGCTCTTACTCCATAGTGACACCGTGTGTCCAATCACTAATTAATTAATAACTCGCTCATTATACGACATAATTCATCGAAAATCAATAGGCTTCTGATCCGAGCTATGATGCTATGAGCTTTCGTGAGATATCGCGTGCATCTATCAGACAGACAGACAAACAAATACCTATCAACATACGTACCGATTAAAATCGATAAGTAATAAGTTATATTCTATATGGTAATCTTCCCACATCCAAAGTTAATAGAGCCATTTATTCAAAATAAAGAATATGTGGTTAAAATTGAACACCCAAAAAGTACTGAAATTTGGCACCCAAAATTTCAACTTGGCAATTAGAAATTTCAGAAACCCCCCTTTGAAAATATCTGTCTACGCTCTGGTATAAACTACAAACTTATATGTAAGCAAACCTAATACTGACGAAAGCGCAAAACAAAATGATCTTTTAAGTGTAGCAAGTTTACCAAACAAGCAAACCTACTGTAATCGAATTTGGATGGAAACTTTTCAAATTCCTGCTCTGTACCTGCCGTAATTCTGTGTGAAAACCACTGCACTCATTTGTATTTAATCAGGGGTGGGCAAATTACAGCCAGCGGTCAGTACCCAGCCCACCGAAGTGTTTCATCCGACCACTTGTGGCTACTGGAATTACGACTATAGTTTTTATGAATATTAATTTCTGTTGAAAATCATGTTGACTGTTACATTGCGATTCTTATTATTACTTATTAGCCTTTATTTGCAACTGGCTCAGGAAAGTAATTGTCCACCTCTGTATTAAATATGATATCTTTATTGATTGACTTACCATCTGGTAGATACGGAGTTGTTGTCCCAGCTGCAGTCGTTGTTTCTATAATAGCAGTAGTAAAAGGTTCGGGAGTTGTGTTTTCTAACTCGGTCGTCGGTTGCTCTTTAATGCTGTAATAAAAAATTGAATAAACATGATATACTTTGACAGTGTACTATTGATTAGAATTATATTCTTAACCCAGCGGGTCCCGAGTTGCAAAGAGAGCCGTGAAAATTAACAGAATTGTGTTAAACAAAACTAAAATATGATTAAATATTTGGCATTTATTTATTATTTCACTATAAATGTTTAATCATTTTTTATATTAAATGCCGTGTATGCTGTTAAATGTCAACAAACTTTAAAATGCATAAAGTACATATTAACGATCGCAAAATTGAGTTTTATTTAAAAGTGCGCCGTGAGTTTTTTCCCTCATAATTGGGTGGCACACGGACAAAAAGTTTGGGAATTGCTGGTATATTTATTAAATTTCTAATAACCGGATAGGATTTCACCTCAATAAGAAATTTTGTCGTTCTTGCGGAGGAAATTTGCTGTGCATATACTTAAGTATTACGTTACTAATATTCTTTATTTCTTTATTATCACTATGATACCTTCTTATGCATACATTATAAACTACTTCAACTGTACAAAAGCAAGCTTGCAAGTTGCCCATAACGATAGCTAAGGATCGATTACAGTACCATTTGTGAGCAGTGAAGACAGAATTGTTGACATTTTATTGGAGGTGAATTATTCTACCAATTTAAAGCATTTATGCAATCGATTTGCACAGGGTTATCATTAAGTACTGCTACAATTACAGAATCTTGTTATGAAGCGAGTTCTCCATATATCTTAAACAGGTTTGTTTTATTTTAATCAGTGTATGATTTTTTTTTTATTATCTCAAAACACACCATTATGCCCACGATTAGTTGCACAGAGCACATCAAATTTTTTTTAAAATTTACGGAAGTGAGCTTAATGATCATGACACCGCCACATTTTTAAAAGTAATAAAACAAATGACAGTACAAAGACAATGAAATAAACTTGATTGACAGACACTTTGGCAGCGGGGAATACATTACAAAATAGGTAAACCCATATATGAAACTTGAACAAAGCATGTATGAGAAGACTCTGCCAAAAGTAAGCCGACCCAGAAAAACCAAAATAAGCATAGCTGCACAATTTAGCCCCCCCCCCCTCAAAAAAATATTAAACCAAAAATTGGATCCAGAAAAGCGACTTATTAGTCAAGAAATACGGTAATACTCACTCAGAGCAACTAATACTGTGTTGTGGAAACGGGTTTTTCCGTCCATCTGGACATTTCTTGCAACAATACTCATCTTTAAGGAAGTCCAGTTCAATAGTTTCACAATCGGTTGTTTTAATATAGTTGACATCACAGATGTAATTCTCAGAGACTGGACCATACTCTGCAGGTTTTGGGAGCACCAGTCCCATGCACAGAGTTGTTAGAATTAAAAGTATCATCAAGAGTAGCTCCATCACGATTATTGTTTGCAGATTTATCCACAATCTCCTAAAGATATTTGTAGATTTGCTACACTAAGAGTAATATTTAAATGTTAAGTTTTTCTTTTCCAAATTTTTCCTGATTTCTAAAAACGAGAATCCAAGGTCTAAGCTTAGACCAGCAACAGTATTGATGGGATATATCGTATATATCAGGGGTGGGCACAATTTTTTCTTATAAGAGCCGCATGCTGCAAGTCAGAACTTTAAAAGAGCTGCAGAATTTGTGAATTTAATATTATTATCATAATACCATGAACAGAAAAGAAATTCACACAAGAGTCTAATAACAATAAATAGATAAACGAGGCAGCTATGCTCAAATATATGCACAATTTGAGTTCATTCAATTTGTGTTTCCTTATAGCTGATTTACAAGGGTAGTCTCGTAAGAAGTTTTCATGATTCGTTTCATGGTGCCGTTTTACATTGCTGACTTTATTCTGACTTAGTAGCTTATGGAAGATTATGCACAAAGATTTATTCTCCTGACTAGTAAATGCGTATTCTTCTTCCCATTCTGACTTGACAACTCTGTTTTCATCTTCGTACTTTCGTTTCTTAATTGAGGATATATCGCACAGTAACTTAGACTAACTAACCGCAATTAAGCTGCCATACCGCTGACGCATCAATAAACATTGACCGGTGTGATGAAAGATTTGCTGACTTGACTGATTTAAATTCAACGCTACAGCGATTTTCATACTAAAACATAATTTGTCTTAATCATTGAGGAAAACTTCTTTACGACTTTTAATAAATTAAAAGAGTTTACATTAAAGTTTTTCTCTTAGTTAAAATTTGGATGATAATTTATGTTATCGAGAAGAGCCGCACAAAAAGTCTGGCGAGCCGCGGTGTGCCCACCCCTGGTATATATATACATAAAAATATCTGTGTGACAAAAATATCAGTAATAAGCATTTCACACAAGACAATACTTTTGTATAAAAAATTTTATAAGTTTTTTTTTTTGAATGAGGCCATGTATACACATCTACTTCTATGTAAAAATTTACAATAATTTGGAAGTATCGAAATCTTTCTGGTACGGCAATCAGGGGCGTAGCCTAAAGTTTCCAAAGGTGGGGAGGGCTGAAATACTTAATTACTAAGTTAGACCGAAACAGCGTGGCTCCGAGTGTAGGTTTTCAAAATACAGAGGGTCTGAAAAGCATTTCAAGCTATGGAAGAGTGCTATTTCTGATTAAAAAAATAACGCTTTTTGACACCTCACAAGGGGAATTCTGACCCTTAACCTCCCCTTGCCAGCAATGCCTACTTAATTTATGATTAAAATGGTAGACATGGGAATTGAACCTGATATGTTTGGTTGAGTCTACCGCTTGAACGCTTCCAAAATATAGCCTGCCTTATCTATGATCGATCTGACTCTTGAGCACAGACTTTTGTGACATTATAGATGAACTACCAATTTTGTGATGAATCCAACTTCTTTAGTATACACTAACCAGGAATGACAAAAATTCAATAGTTCACTATTCGAAAGACATTTAATATAAATGGTTCTCAAACGGTGGTAGACAATTTTTTGAGAGGTTGTGAAGCTAATTTAAAATTAAAACAATTATTAGATTTGATCTTGCCTGTTCAATATTAGATATTCACATTTTTTCATTTACGTTCAATCCGCACATTTTCAATGTGTTTCTTAATAAAGTATACTTTCGACATACTCTATGTTATTTGTAGCTTACTGTTAGCTAATGATTTTTAAGGTGTGGCACAAGACTTCACAAATTCTAAAAATGGGGTGCGGCCTAGAAGTATGAGAACCTCTGTTTTATATTACTATTTTCATCCATGGAATATAGAATATTTTAAATTTGGGTCATACCAACAATGAACATTAAAAATCTAAGTATATTCAACTAAGTTTGCTTCAAAAATGGAGCACAGTAAAGATAAACAGTGATTTGATGGATTTTTTATACTTTCCGGCAAATTATTAAAGGCTTCCACGCCATGCTGTAAATTTATAATAGCTTGAAATCATAATAAAAAAATACCATTCAATTTATTCACAAAGACTATACCACACCAGCTGTTAAGTTTTTTTCACAAAAGCTACGCTCACCTCAGACACTCCCTTTTAAAATAAATCATATTCAGAACAGCCCTTCCAAATTATTTACAAGCACTATTCCTCAGCAACTGGTAAGTTTTTTCACATAAGCTCTGCTCCAATTAAACACGTCCTCATTTAAAAAATCATAATCAAAACATGCCTTTCATATTATTACCAACTAATCCCTGCTTTTATAGTATTGAAACAATTTTAATCATGGTAACGCTGTAATGAACTGAATAGAATAACCAACTAGAAGCTTGCTTTCTCTGGACAAAAACATCCAAACTAAAATCAATCTCGTGATGACAGTCACGTAGTCTCAAGACTAGTCAATCGTGAGATCATGTGAGAAAATTCGCCAAGTCATTGTTCACTCATAATGTCTCTCGTGTAACAAATACTCGTTTCCATTATAAGCGATAAATACTAGACATTATGTGTTAAATCTGTAGATTTAAAGAATGAATCAGCGACCAAAGGAATGTTAATATCAAGTCAATAGAAATGATGGGGGTTTTCGTAACCATGAATAGGAGTTAAATAAAAAGGTCACTTTGGACCAAAGTAGGTCATGAAATATCACAAATCCTATTTATATTGAAGTTGGGGTGAAATGTTAAACTAAACTGTGTCAAACTCGAATAAAACAAAATATTAAACATTGAGTGGAATAAGCATACGATCTACTTCTTTGTAAAGAGCTACTATTGTTTAAAAGGATCAGAATCTTCTGGCTCTTTTTATATCCAGGAATTTTCAAAAGGTGGGTTCCTTAGTTTCTAATTGCTAAGTTAGACCAAAATAGTCAGCGGGGCAAAACACAGGTTTCCAAAATTCCTGAGGGTCAAAAGGGGAGTTGACCCTCAATCCCCCTGGCCACACCCTTGCCTGCCACAACTACATAATTCATGGTCGAGGTTCTAGACGTGAAAATTGAACCCGAAATGATCAGGTGAACCGAACGCTTTTAACCACTTGGTGATCACGATTTCGAAATATAGCCTACACTACAAATGATGGTACTCCCGTAGTGTGTGTACCAGATTAGGGCTAGGCCATAATTTTATTCTGATTTTCCTTATTTTGGTTCTATTACGAGTTTGAGGACTGTCTGTTTTAGCCAAGTGAATATACCCCCTGCTCATAGGTTTCAATCCCTTTACACAACTTGATGTAAAGTAGGCGAACAAATTTTGTTACCTCCATATTGGCACACACACTTCTGGAGCGCCGAAATGGCTTTTATGAGACAACGCTTTACACAAACTACCAATTTTGCCACAAATTCAATTTTCTGAGCTTACCCTAACCAGGAATGTCATAAATTAAACAATTCACTATTATAAAGTCATTCTATATTAATATTTTCACCTACCGGTATGTAATATCAACATATTTTCATTTGGAGTCATGCAAACAGAGAACAATAAAAATTGAAGTATATTCAATAAGATTGTTTTAAAAATACGCAGTTAAGATAATCAGTGATTGGAATGATTTAATTTTCCACACTTTCCAGAAATTTAATAAGGCTTTCACGCCTCACTGTAAAGTTTCAATAGCTTGAAATCATAATCATAACAGTCATTTGATTTATTTACAAAATAATTCCTCGGCAAGTTTTTTTCACAAAAGCTCTGCTTCCCCAAACCCACCCTTATTAAAACTGGGCACTATTTCATAGGTTCTCGAAGCCATCAGAGCTTCGTTAGATAAACCTAGCGGCTTCGCGAGCTATTCGTTTACTTATTAAAATACTGACTCGATTAATTTTGTTACTACCCAAATAAGCAATAACGACATTAATAACATTTGACAACGGTAAATACATCCGAGCAATCAAAAAAAGTAAATTTAATTTACTTAGGACAATTAATCGGAAAGTAACAATGTTTTTTTTGTTTTAATTTTATAAGTTTATTGTGGGGCTCTATAAATAATTGTCAAAATTGGCAACCTACAAAGACATGTCTGGACTAAATTATATACTAATCTAACAAGAATAAAATTCACAATTGCTCGTTTAATGAGCCTTTAATTTAATCATTATTGTGCAACAAAATGTAGAAAAGTTGATGCTAAGAGCAAATGTATCACTGCTTGAGCGACGAAAGGTTGCCGACGCTTAATCTAAATCTTCAGGGGCACCATGACATTAAAATTTGAAAATCATTGCACTGTGATACACAACATTTGCTTGATAAAACTATTCAACACTGCTTAAATTTTTGCTTTAAAACCAACTGCTTTTATATTATAGGCCTAACTTTATTTATTGTGAAACTATAGTAAACTGAATGGTAACTGAACTAAAAGCCAGCTTGTGCTGAACAAAACACACAGAAACTAATATGGTCCGTTAACAGTGGCATGGTCAAGGCTAGTCAGCTGTGACACAACATGATACCATACATTCCAAATCTGATCAGATGACAATTGCGTGTCAAACTAGTCAGCCGTCACACTACGTAATTCAATACATGTATTTGAACAATGAATCATATTTCTTGTGAAATTCTCAGATTAGTTACCTATTAAACACATAACATTCCAGAATAAACGTTTTGTGTCAAAACTGATGAAATGTTTTTAAGCAAATAGACAAGAAAAGGTTTATATTAAACACTAATACAGGTCAAATAGTGAAAGTACTAACGAAAAATACTTTCACAATTTTGCTCAGCTAAAACCAGAAAAGTTGATCGAAAAGTTAAAACCAACTCGCACTCTACATATATATATATATATGAAAAAATGTCAGTAATTAGCAATCAACACAAGAGAATACTTTTAGGCAAAAATTATATGGATGTCTGTACAAGCATCACTTTTATGTAAAAAGCTACAGTAGTTCAAAAAGACTGAAATCTTTCAGGATTTGAACCCAAAATTAATAACTTTCGGCACAAAGGCAATTGAGATTTTGAAATATACTTCATCTATGATTGATTTGATACAGCGGTTAATGATTCTTGCGAGATAA